AACTGAGAGTGTACCTCAGCAGGGTCAGGGCCAGCAGCTGGCATCCCTAGGAGGTTGGTCCAGCCCCAGCCCACTGTTAAGAGGGCTGGATCTGGACTCCCTTTTATTTCCCTACAATCACCCCAACCTGGTATTGTTCCAAAGTGTTTATATGATGGGTGGGGTGGTGGATGAAAAGGTTGGCTAGTCCCCAGCCATGTAGTGCTGCTTGGTACAGCCAGATAAGCTCACTAAGGAATAAATTGGACACAACTATGGTGGCTCTGGGGGCCAATGTCTTGACTCTTGGGGTCTGGACTGCCAAAAGCAAGCAAAAAAAGAAAAGTGGCCAGAATCATAGAATCGAATCATCGAGTCAAAAGGGATCTCATGGGCCAGCAAGTCCAACTCCCTGCTCAGAGCAGGATTTCCAGCTAAAGCATCACTAGCAGGTAGATGTCCACCCTCTTTTTAAGATGTCCAGAGAAGGACCCCATCACTTCTCTAGGGAATTGGTTGCATTGCTCAACTGCTCTTACTGTCAAAATCTACCCTCCTGTAACTTCAGACCATTTGACCTGGTCCTATTCTCTGGGGCAACAGAGAAGAGGCCCATCCACCCCTCTCTGTAATAACCCTTGTGATATTTAAATAGTGCAGTCATGCCATGCTTCAGTCTTCTCTTCACCAAGCTAAAAATGCCTAGCTCCTTCAACCTTTCCTCATAAGTTTTGTTCTCCATTCTTTTTATCATCCTTGTTCCCCTTCTATAAACCTACTCCAGTTTGTCTATATCCTTCTTAAAATGAGGTGTCCAGAACTGAACATGGTACTCCAGATGAAGCTTGACCCGCGCAAAGAATAATTACTCTTTGAGCACAGTTTTCCAACCAACTTTGGAGCCATCTGACAGTGTTCCATTCTATTCCTCATTTAATCAGTTTGCTAATCAAAATGTTATGCAGGACCTTATCAGATACTTTGCTGAAATCCAGATAAATGACATCCATAGCACTCCCACCACCTACTCAACTAGTACGAAAGTAGTGATCTGGTCAAAAAAGGGATATGAGATTAGAATGTTTAGTAGGATGTGTTCTTGACAAACCTATGCTGGCTCCTACTGGTGAGTGCATTGTCATCAACATAACTGCAGACAGACTGTCCTATGCTCTTTCATCAAGTATCCCAGGAACCAGGTGGTTGGGTTATAAGAGCTGCCGAGATGTTAATACAGTCCTGGTCAGACACAGAGTATCCAGCAGAATGAAAGGAACAGCAATAGAGTGATTATCAGCCAATCAGGTGGTTGTTCAGCAAGTCAATAGTCCAGATAAGTAAAGCCAGCAAGAAGTGGAACAGGGTCGTAAATTGTAGACCAGGGGTCCCCACACTTTTTGATCCGGGGACCGGTTTGCTGGCCCCCAGATCTTTGGGGGGCCAGAGGCGCACACATGCGCATGCTCACTACTCAGGCACCATTTTTTGTTCCAAAATGGCACCTGGAGTCGTGCGCATGGGCCCGGCGTCACACGCGCATGCACATGACTCTGGGCGCCATTTTGGAACACAAAACGGCACCCTGCATCGCGTGCACATGAGCACTACTCCGGCGCTGTTTTGTGTTCCAAAATGGCACCCCGCGTCACGCATGTGCGGCGGTGGCAATGGCAGGAACAGCCGCGGGCTGGTTCAAAGGCCTCGATGGGCTAGGTTCTGCCCGTGGGCCATAGTTTGGGGACCCCTGTTGTAGACAGTCCAAGGCAAAAAAACAAGAACACTGAAAATACTACTAGTTGCCAAGAAAGGAAGGTTGAAAGCAACAAGCAGACAAGGAGTAGCTGGGAGATTTATAGGCAGCAGTAACAAGACCCCAGGTGCCCAATTAGGCCAGAGCCTCCTATTTAATAACTTTTGGCAGCAGTACAATCTTTATTTGTCCTGTCATTGCTGGATGAATGATGGCGAATGATTTTCTGTATCTGCAGCTTCTTTCTGGGCATCAGAGTCCCCTCCTGCTTCAACTCCCAGTTCCTTAGATAGAGCATGATTATCAGGAGCTGCAGATATCTGGCAATCTGCCTCTTCCTCACTGTGTGAATTGTCAGACTCCAGCAGGTGAATTATGAACAGACTCCTGTATAATCCATTCTAATATTTTTTCCTGGTATTGAAGTCAAGCTGTCAGTCTGTAGCCTGGACATTGGTTGTCACCCCAATTTGGAGCCTATGCCTTAGAACTTGGAGAAGTTAAAGTTTGGAAACTATAGCTCCCAGGTTAGGGAGTCTGCATACCTACCAACTGTCCCAATTTGGCAGAGGCAGTCTCAGTTAATCCTTCCTCATCCCATTTTTTCAGCTACTTTTAAAATATTCCAGTTTTTCTCTCCTCCTCTCCTTTTTCTCTTCAACCTACTTCCATTCCTGTAAACTTGGGCTGCATCCACACTGCAGAAATAATCCAGGTTGACACTACTCTAATGATCTGAAGGCACACAACACCAGTGACAGTGTAAGATACAAGATAATTGCTGAGCAGCAAAAATATAGTAAAAAAAAGTAAAACAGACTGTTTTTTTAATAGAATTTTTAAAACAAAAAATTATATTTTCCTAAGAACTTGGAAATGATATTTTTGGGACTTCAAATCCCAGATTTCCTCGGCCACCATGATTACTAACTAGTCAACATTTCAAAGCTTTTTTTAAGGATGGGGGGGGGGAAACTAGTTATATTGACCAACCAGATACATCTTCTGATAGCTTTATTTTAGAAAGAGAGAACCTCACTTGTTTGAAGATGCTGTGAGGCAATGTTACTCAAAGAGGCAGTGTGTGGACCAATGCTGGTCTCCAAGCCATCGTTGTCAGTCTCTGGTCAGTTTCCAGGAAAGAAAGAAACGATTATAGCCAATGGGCACAAATAAGATACTAGTCCGTGGAAAATTGGGAAGGGGAAATGCCAGTCCACCACCTCCAGTATCTTAAGCAGCACTGCAGTAAGACATTATTTCAAAACACAAGGCCAGGGAAGTAGACTTTCTGGCAGCTTCCCTCTCTGTGCCAATTTCTCACAGCTTTTCTTTTTAATGTTAGAAAGTTGCTCCAAAGCCTCTGAAGCCAACCTCAAGTGCTTTTCTTCAGAAAGGAAGGAAGGAAAAGGTGGCTGCTAGCAAGGGCCCCTTACACTGTTCCTTTCCTTGGTTGCTGGAGTTGGCAGGTTCTCAGCATCCCTTGAAATATTCTGGCACTTGTCTGTGGCCAGGAGGAGGAGCTGGTTATTCAGCATCCAAAGGAGGAGTGAGCAAGTGACTGAGGCACCGTCACTCTAGTTCTTACTACTTGCTTTGCTCTAATCTCAGGCGCACTAGATCCATGTGGGGAAAAAGTTATCAGCAGGCACCTGAGGTTGAGAGCAGAGGAGAAACCTTGGTTATTATCACTTGCTACTGCCAGCCCCAGATGCGATAGCCACAGAGGGCAGGCACGAAGAAGAAACAGCTGCTAAGAAGAGCAGAGAAGGAGCATTAAATCCCTGTTGAGTATTCAGGATGAGTCTGAGACTATGAACTAGGGCACCAGTGACAATGCTATTTTTATATTTCTTCTAGGACTCATGTCTGGTAAGTACAAATACTTGGAATTTCTGCATAGAGTCTGCATTTTGTTTGGGGTGAAGAGAGAGTGTAATTTCACTTTCTTCCTTTGGAGTCCAAAACTTGCTCAACTCAAAAGAGACCTTAGTTTTGACAATGGGGGACTTGAGGGGTGGGTGGGTGGTAGGGATCAGGTGAGATCTGTATGTGCCCTGTGCTTAGTAAACATCACTCTCATTTTTATCATTTCTAATCTCTCTACTCATGGAGAATACATTGGGTAGCACACCTGAGCATTACTTTTCTTTGAATTTTGAGCTCATAGAATCCTTCAGCCAACATGGCCACTGGCTGGAAGTCTATGTTCTGATGGAATGATTCCCCCTCCCTACATTTGCCACCTTCATCTCTTTTCCCTGGAAGGTATGTAAAATGCCAGCCAGTTTTGATTCTTAATGCAATGCTTTTGCCACTGGCTGATTAATTATACTATTATATGATATTTTTACAGGTTTTGTAACAAGCTATTGGTTGTAAATGCTTCAGATCTCTTATGACACAGATTGTTATTATCACATATGGTGATCCTATCATAGGGTTTTCTTGGCAAGATTTGTTCAGAGGAGATTTGCCATTGCCTTCCCCTGAGGTTGAGAGAATGCGGCTTGCTCAAGATCACCCAGTGGGTTTCATGCCCAAGCTGGGAATTGATCCCTGGGCTCTAGAGTCATAGTCCAACCCTCAGACCGCTGTGCTACGCTGGCTCTCCGTGTCATTTAAACCCTAGTAATTTCTGTGCTGTTGAATTATTTGATGTGAGGCAAAAATGACTCCCCATTAAGTGTGTAGAAAGAGGAATTTGAGCAGATAATGGTGTACAGTCTCCTCTTCATTTTTGTGGGGATCTGTTCTGGACCGACCCCCCCGTGAAAACGGAAAATTGCCAATATTCAAGCCCCATTGGTTTGAATGGCAGTGCATGCCTCTGGGCACGCCCCCCATTTTGTCCCCCTCCGTTTGCTGCCCATGAACAGGTGAGGAATGCAGACTCCAAGTCTGCAAAAATGGAGGGGCAACATGTTTAAATAATGGTGTCAATGTACATGGTACTTTACGAAATAAAGCAAAAAGATAGCCAACCCTTCCAAATGCATACAATCTCAGGCATGGGGAGCAGGGGGAGGGTGAAAAGGAATTCTACAAATATAAAACGAATACAGTTGAATTGTAAAATCAATTATCCAGATAAACATTGACAAACCAGTGCAATATAATACAAGACAAACTGACAAAACACATATGATCAAAATGCAAGGAGATAAATTAATCTTAAACTAAAAATTCCAAAAGCTTTGGAGAATAGGCAGGTTTTCAACTGAGGTTTAAAAACAATGAGGGAAGGTGCAATCCACTAATATTCAGTGAGGCACTTCCAGGGATATGAAAAAGCTGCACCTGATGACATCCTCTCTTCTCTGCCACTATTGGTGATGTATTTTGGCATCATCCCTTTGCACCTGCTCACCCAGCTGTCACACCCACATGCTTCACCCAGATGCCACAATGACAGGGAGGCTAAGCAGATCTCTTTCTACAGTGAACCATCTCACACACTCTGATCTCAGGATTTCTGAGGTCAAAGCAGCCTTCATTAGATTGGGATGTGCTAAGATTGCAGCTTCCCTCATCCCCAGCTAGCATAGCCAATGCTGCCCAGGGAGGATTGGCGTTATCACCCAACATAGATATCAGGTTAGAGAAAATTGGAAAAAGAAGGACAAATGGAATCTCAGCAACACCAATCTTTGCTGGCTTTTTAATCAATTGCATTCTGATTTTTATTGTTTCATATGTAAATCAGCCTAGGGATATGATAGGAAAGAGGTTCTATTACTTGTAAGAAAATAAAACAGATCTGTATAATTATTTCATATTCTAATGCAATCAATTCTTCTACCTTGAAACATGTTTTGTTCCTGCCTGACGTGGGAATAGCCACTCATCTACTGGCTTTCCTCTCTCATTTTCGTAAATCCCTGAGGTTCTGCTGTTATCTACATTAAGTTAACATAGTAGGATCTGGAATGACCTAAAAACTAAAGGAGAAAAGGGTTTGAGAACTGTGAATATTCAAATAACTTTAGGTAGAAGTTTTAGCAGGAGCACCTTTTCCTCCTGCACATGAAAAGATGTGTCTGTGTGTGTCTATGTGCCTTCAACTTGCCTGTCAACTTATGGTGACCCCATGAATTTCATAGGGTTTTCTTAGGCAAGGGAGACTCAGAGGTGGTTTTGTCAGTTCCTTCCTCTGAAATATAGCCTATAGCATCTGGTATGTGTTGATGGTCTCCCATCCAAGCTAACCAGGGCTGACCCTACTTAGCTTCCAAGATCAGACAGGATATGGTGCTTTAGGATATTTATGCTGATTATACAGCTCTTATATCTTTTCTTCTATATAACTTCTAAAGCTACAGCAGTCTGCTGCATTGGGTTATCCTAAGAAGATGTGTGCCCTTTCTTTTCAGACTGACTGAAATTTATACCTTTGGTCTGTACTATCTAAAGCAGTGGTTCCCAAACTTTGGTCCTCTAAGTGTTTTTGGACTTCAGTTCCCAGAAGCACCACTCAGCATGGCCAACAGTCAGGAATTCTGGGAGCTGGCATCCAGAACATCTATCTGGGGGATCAAAGTTTGGGAACCACTGATCAAAAGCTTAATTCAGGGGTAGGCAACCTAAGGCCCGGGGGCCGGATGCGCCCCCCTGAGGCTTTTGGACCGGCCCCAGGCCGGTCCTCCCGCCGCCACCTCCCCCCGCCCGCCATGATGATATTGATTATTGTTGTTATTACTTGTTCTTGGGGTTTTCTTGGCAAAATCTCCACAGTGTTTTTGCCATGGCTTTTCTGGGGCTGAGAGAGTGTGCATGCATATTTTTTTAATTTTTTTTAAAAAATTATTTATTTATGGTGCTTTGGTCCCCCTCAATTGTCTGAGGGACAGCAACCCGGCCTCCGACTCAAAAAGGTTGCCTACCCCTGGCTTAATTGTTTGGGGATATGATCATAGATTGAGATTAGAACCTGAAATAGTAGAATTCCACCTAGGGCAGTTTGCTGCAATTGAGCCTCAGTTTCCTCATTTTTAAAATGGGAGATATGGATGGTTGGTCTCAAATATGCGAGACGTTTAATTATTACAAATAATCTACAGTGAAAGAAGACTGCAATCCTAAACATGCCTTCTAGGAAGCAAATACTATTGACATCAGTTTACCTCTGAGTAAGTATACTTTGGATCAGGCTGTACATGTTTAGGATATGTGTTTCAGTTCTCTTTCCTAGCTCTGGACTATCTGAGAAAATAGTCCATGCTGCTAATAATATGTCAACAGCTTATCTGTTTGATACTTAACTTCTTATAGGCAGAGGCTCTTGATTGTGTATAATTAATTTGGTTTGGATTGGATTGTGTTTATAATGCAAGATGTATTTAACTTTAGACATTTAATTACAGAAAATTACAGTACCTTTCAATATCTGCCTTAAGGATGATTGCAGAATACTTTAAACATACCTGTTACTTCCTTGTCATTAGTACAAAGGAGGAGACATCAGTGGTGGCTAGAAGCTCCCTTTTTGAATGGAAAGATGTCATTGATTCATTGATGCTGACAGTGAAATACATGAAACAGCATCTCTTTCAGTTCAATTATTTTATACGGTAATATTTTGCCTTGTTTTCTCTTAATAGTGTGAATAACTAGAGTAGTGATTCTTGAACTTTTTATCCTTGTGACCTTCTTTAAATTTAGATGTGGATATCGTCCCCTCCCCCCATGTAGTACATGTATATAAATATTTTGTTTGTTTAGTGTGCATATTTTCATTCACACATTCATGTATATTTGCATTTTAACATTTTATAAGGAGATAGCTCTCCTCCTCCCACCCCGGACAGAGTTTCCAAGCATCCTCCTTTTCTTTCTCTTCCCCTTCAGGACAGAAAAGGTTTGGGGGGAGCAGGGTCTCCAAGTCTTGTTCCCCCTCTGTGGGTCCCACCCCATAATTTGAGAACAACTGTGTTAGACGATATCTAGACAATAGACTTAAAACTGAGCAGAGATCTGAAACCAGGTTGAAAGATACTACTCTTTTTATGGCATGTAAAATGCATTTCTTTGATCCCTTGGTCACCCAAGTTGAAGTGAGTGTTTAGGGGCATACCAAAACTATTGTTGTTGTTGCTGCTGCTGCTGCGTGCTTTCATGTCATCTCTGATGTCTGTCTACTGAGCTTTCATCTCATGCATCTGAAGAAGTGAAATGGAGTTCACAAACATTTACAGTCGCCCCTCCCAATTCACAGGGGATCCACAAATATTCAAACCCCATTGAAAATAATGGTGGCATGCTCCCACACATGCCATTTTGTCCCTCCTGGCTTCCTATACATGGAAATTCAAAACCATGAATGGGAAGTCAGTGAATCTGGAGGGACGGCTGTACACTGAAATAAATGAGTCTTATTTATGCCTTTAAAGATTCCGTCCTTCTCTTCTCTGCATAATGTTATAGTTCTTGTACATGTATTCTACATGTGTGAATGTATGATATGAGATGTAGCTAGATCTCATCCAGAGATTTAACTATTAAAAAGTGAAGCAGAATGGGATTCAGACATGGCCCTGCTATGACAAAGTTGAGTGTTGTTTGTTGATGCTGTATGCTTCAAGTCATTTCCCACTGATGGCAACCCTAAGAGGAGACTATCATGGATTTTTCCCTGGCAAAATTTGTTCAGAGGGGGGGTTTGCCTTGCCTTCCTCTGAGCCTGAGAGACTGTGACTTGCACAAGGTCAGTCTCCTAATAGGTTTCAAACTCTGGTCTCTAGGGTCCTAGTCCAACACCCAAACCACTACACCATGCTTAGCCCTGAAAAAGTGTATTATTCCAGGGGACAGGTTATGCCATTGGTATCTTGTATTTGGAAGTCCCTTATAATCTGCGGCCCTGATCTTGGAAGCTAAGCAGGTTCAGCCTTGGTTAGTACTTGGATGGGAGACTGCCAACAAATAGCATAACTACTCCTGAGTATTAGTTGCATGACAAAACCCCATGAAATTCATGAAGTCACCATAAGTTGACAAGTGACTTGATGGCGCATGCACACACAGTGGAGGATGCTGAAATAAAACTTACACTGAGAAGAAGATTCTGAGTGTGTAAGAACAGTATCTCTAGCAAAATGTCCTATCAACATTTTACTAATCCTCACTTTAATAATCCTTGCAAAGCTAAAATGGGAATGATGATTTACTAGGAATAGGGAATGCCCCTAGTAAATTGGGCTAGTTGAAGCATATGCAAATATCAATTTCCAGAGGTCTTTAGAGGATAGTCATAGCAGAAACTGAAGTAAAACAGATAGACACCTATAGTGTAAATGAGCCCAAAGTGTGTTATAATAATATAATAATAATAATAAATTTTTATTTGTAGCCCGCCCCTCTGCAGAGCAATCGGGGCGGGGAACAGCAGCAATTAAAACAAGACAAAGTTAAAAACATTCCCTCTCCCCACAGTCCCATCCTCCCCCCACCCCATCCCCTTAAAATAAAATTAAACCATGACTAATTAAAATATAATATTAATTAAATTAATAAATTAAATAATAAATATCAACAAAGGAGTCAGACAAATGGGGCCCTTCTATGGGCCGGCACTTATTCCAGGAAGGCCTGCCGGAAGAGATCCGTCTTT